TGTATGAGCAGAGGGTGGTATAGGTCAGTGGTTCCCAAACTTCATCCTGCATCAGAACCACCTGGAGGCTCATTAAAACACAAATGTCTGGGCCCCACCCCCAGAGTGTCTGATTCAGTGGTACGAGGTGGAGCCTGAGAATCTGCATTTCTAACCAGTTTTCAGATGATGCTGATGCTGCTGGTCCAAGCAGTACACTCTGAAAACCACTTGTATAAGTGGTTAGGAGCTTGGCTCTGATGCTTATCCGCTGTGTGACTTATGCAAGTTACTTAACCTCTCTGTGTCCGTTTTGTTTTTCCTTTATTAAAAATGGGGACAATAATAGTGCCCACCTCAGGCAGTTGTGAGAATTAAATGAGTTAATACATGTAAAATGCATATAGGAAGTGCTCGGTAAATGTTTGCTCAATAAATGTTATCCTAATTTAAAATGCTTGTTCCTTTTGACTTGACAATTCCATGTCTAAGTATATATCTTAAGAGAAATATTTACATTATAACTTAGATGAAATTGCTCAAAAAATACAAGTTAACCAAACTGAAGAAGAAATAGAAAATCTGTATAGCTCTATATCCTTTAAAGTAATCAAATTTATAATTAAAATGTTTCTCATAAAGAAAACTCCAAGCCTGGAAGTCCTCACTGGTGTCTTCTCCTACATATTTAAGGAAGAAATAATGCAGTGGGTCCTCACTTAACATCGTTGATAGGTTCTTAGAACCTGCAGCTTAGAAACTGCAGCTTTAAGTGATACAACATACCACGAAACCAGTTTTACCAGGGGCTAATTGATATAAATAAGAGTTACGTTCCTACTGCATATTTCTGGTCACAAAAACATCTCCAAACTTTTAAATAAAAACCAAAACACTTCTAATATTAAACACTAAAATTAATGTGAGCTATACATACATTTAAGAAAGATTAATAAAACTAAGTAGATCATTCTTTTCCAGCCCACTTATTCCAGTTCACAGGTGGCCGGGGACCTATCCTGGCAGCTCAGGGCACAAGGAGGGAACCCACCCTGGACAGGACGCCCTTCCATCCTGGAGCGCATTCACACGCACACCTACACTCACTCATACTGGGACAATGTAGACACAGCAGTTCACCTCACATGCACATCTTTGGGATGTGGAAGGAAACTGGAGTCCCTGCAGAAAACCTCCACAGACACGAGGAGAACATGCAAACTCCAGACAGTGGCCCTGGCTGGAAATTGACTTTTTTTCCTCAGCAACATTATAACAAAATGACATTGAGTGAAATGACATTATTCAAGGACCTGCTGTACAAATATTGCACAAACTCTTTCAGATAACAGGGAGAGAGAACATTTACCAGAACATTTTATGAGTTCTACATAATCCTGATACCAAACCTGACAACGACATCACAAGAAAACTATAGACCAATAGCCTTCATGAATATACCAGGGATGCCAAAAAAATGTATACACATGACTTGTAGTCACCTTTTGTTATCAGTATATATTAGTATTACAATTTTAATAGTTTTTTCCTTTCTTAAAATGTGTATACATTTTTTGGCACCCTCAGTAAATAAAAAATCCTTAACAAAACATTAGCAAATCAAACACAGCAAATTAGAAAAATGACAATATATCATGACCAAAATCTGTATTAAGTTTCCTATTGTTGCTATAACAAATTACCACAAACTTGGTGGCTTAAAACAAAAACTGATTATCTCTCAGTTTATGTATTACTTGCAGAGTATAAAATGTTACAAATATCAGAAAACTCTTTGGCAATTTCTTTTAAAGATACACACCCATCCTATGACCTAGCAATTCCACTTTTAAGTACACCCAAGGAAATGAAAACATGTCCACAACAAAACTTCTACAAAAATGTTTATAGTAGCTTTATTTATAATAACACCAGACAGGAAACCCAAATGTCCATTGACAAAATGACTAAACAAATTGTGTTATATTTATACAACAGAATATTATTCAGCAATAAATTACTGATGACTCTTAAAACCATTATGTTGCACCAAAGAATCCAGACACAAAAGACTACAAACTGTATGATTCCATTTATATGAAATTCTAAGATAAAATGAATATATGATAGAAATCAGAACAGTGGCTGCCTCTGTGTGTGTGGCAGGCAGGGGAGGGAAAGAGTGCTCGGGGGTATTGACTAGAAAGGAGAGACCTTTCTGGAATGATGGAAATCAATGTTCTATTTCTTGCTTTGGGTTTTATTTACATGGATGTATACAGTTCTTGAAAGCCTTTGAACTGTACCCTTAAGATCTCTGCATTTTACTGCTTATGAATTACGTCAATAAAGAGAAATTTAATCATACATTTACAACCAAACATGGCACCTGCATCTGAATTCAATCAAATCTTTCACTCCTTGTTTATAATTCAAGGTCTACAGGCTTCAATTAATTTAGGTCAATCTTGCAATCAAAAAGGAAAGCTTGTTACATGATAGTGTTTGCTTGGGGGACCCAGATCTTTCAAAGGGGAGTTTCCAGGACCAACCAATGCATGTAAGAGAAATAAATGCAGAGGACAAGACCAGAGGAAGGCAAAAGTATGAAACATTTAAAGTTTGTCTTCTTAATCCCAAGTCTGCCTTCCGATATGCTCTCTCTGAGCTGGACCTATTCAGTCCATCTTCCCCACTACCGTAAGAGGTCGTTCTAACAGCAATTTCATCACTCAAAAATTCTACCTTCCACGAAACACCACAACACAATTCAGCCAAATTCTTTGCCACTTTGTAACAAGGATTGCCTGTTCTCCAGTTTCTAATTACCTGTTCCTCTTTTCCATCTGAGATCTCATTGGAATGGAGTCCTTTTCTACCAACATTTTGTACATGATTACTTATGTATTCTCTAAGAAGATGGAAGCTTTCTCTCCACCTCTCCCTTTTTTTTTTCTGAGCCCTCACTAAATAGTCTTTAACATTTCATGTTTCTAGCATGCACATCAAAACTCTTCCAGCCTCTACCCCTTACCCAGTTCCAAAGCCCTTTCTATATTTTTAGGCACTTGTTACAGTAGCACCTCACTTCTTGGTACCAAAATTTATTAGTCTGCTCAGGTTGCTATAACCAAATACTGTAGACTGGGTGTCTTAAACAACAGAAATTTATTTTCTCACAGTTCTGGAGGCTGGAAAGTCCAAGATGAAGGTCTGGCAGGGTTGTTTTTGGTGAAGGCTATCTTCCTGGTTTATAGATGTCCGGCCGCCTTCTTGCTGTGTCCTCACATAGTGGGGAGGCTAAGGGGAGAGGAGGAGAGTAAAGGAGGAGGAGAGAAGAGGGGAGGAAAGGGAGAAAAGTGAGGAGGAGGAGGAAGAAGGGAGAGGGGAGAGAGCTCTCCCGAGTCTCTTCTTACAAGGACGCAAATCTTATTGGATCAGGCCCCCACACTTGAGACCTACCTCATTCAACCTTAATTATATCCATAAAGGCCCCATCTCCAAATGCAGCCAAACTGGAGATAGAGGCTTCAACATAAGAACTTAGGTGTGTATAGGGCTGGCTGAGTGGCTAGGCTGGTTAAGAGCTTGCTCAAGAGTGCAAGCTCTGAGCAACAGCGGTTCAATGCCTGGCCCAAGCTGAGCTGCCACTGAGCTGCCCTCAGGAAAAAAAAAAAAAATTTAGGGGTGTGTGTGTTGGGGGGCACACATTCAGTCCATAATAGCATCTTTGTGTGAAAAATTTAGCAACAGTTTCTGGAAAAGTCTGAGCAGAAAAAGTCTGAAAAAGCAGAAGGAATGTGCTAAATATATTTTGATGCTTTAAGTCAATATTTTCATTTCTTTCCCCTGTATTATACTCTCATTTAGATCAAATGAGCACATTTTCCTGTTAGGTTTGTGTGTTGCTTGTCCAAGATGGCTTCCTACTGCCTGCTGGATAAAATGATGCTATGCAATGCTTTCACATGCCTTCCTCTAGGCAGCCAGGCGAAAGATGGCTGCTTAAAGATGAGTAAGTATGGCACACATGGCTTAATTTTTTTCAAATGCAATTTCAACTGTTCCTTTGGGGTATTCTTTTATTGACTGTGCAGCCGAAAATGTTAAGAAAGTGATGCCTATTTCTAGCATTTTCACTATTCATGGAACAAAATTACATCTGTTCATCCCTGTCCCTATACAAATATGACACATTAAATGATCAGGATTTCTATGCCCGTGTACAAGGGATGCCAATGACTTGCCATATTAACTATCTGCTCTGTGTTGGGCAGCATGCCCGCTGCTGGGAGTGCAGGAGCAACAAAACCCAAGCCCTGTACACAAAGAACTTACACTTGGCGAGGGAGATAGACCTGCACTCCCAAGCTATTCTCCCTAGAGTGGGAAGGGGTTTGTGTGGTCACCCACTTTCTCTTACTCAGGTGGCTGGTTAGAAAGGCAGCTGCGGTCAAAGGACAAGAGAAGCTCATCATTACAGACAGCACAGTTTGAAAAATCAATCTGTGCCAAGCAGGGAAGCAGTTGAATATGTGTAGTATCTATTTTAGATATAAATGAAAGTTTTGTGTTTGTCACTTACACATTCTTCAGTTCACTCCATGATGCCTTTGAGTGTTGGAATAACCGCAGAGGATTCATCATGTAAATTATAAGGGGAGCCAGGTACAACAGAACGTTCTTATAAAAGGAAAAACGCCCAGTGCCACTCTACCCACAAAATGCTGCCTATTTGTTTTTTTCTAAAACATCATTGTAATTTTCATCTTTTTAAAAAAGGCTGTTTCCCCTAGAGATGTTTAAAAAACTGTAATTTTGCTTTGGAGGTATTGGCAAGTCCTGCCTCTGTGGTTATGTGACATTATAAACATCCTGAACAAAATAGCATATGGCAACTCACAGGGGGACTTCGCATCTCTGCAGGACAAGTGTAATCTGCAAGGCTTCTAGGCACACGGATCAAATTTTAACACTAAAATTTCTAACAAGGCTTTTTCTACAAAAAATCCACACAGAAACAAAGTCAATTAAATTTTATTACAACCAAGAATATAAAATAAATGCAATGTAATTTATTTTAGTTTTAACAGTCATTTCAAGAAGGATGCCAGGACAATGCAAAAGCGGGAGGAAACACTCGGCTCCAAAGCAGCAGCTTGCTCTGCACCACACGGAGCAAGCCTTAATGGGGTGCGGCCGGCTCTGAGCGCACAGCTTGGCAGCAGAGTGTGGAAAGCAAACAGTCATCTCTGTAATTATGGAAAGAGGGATGCGTGCAGGAAATGACTGAAAAGAGAGACAAGGACAGGTACACTTCACAACAGGAATTATGGGAGATACAAACTAGGCAGTTTAGAAAGGATGTACTACATAACATATATAAAAAGTACTTTAAATTGTTGTTAAAAAGGACATCTTCAGTCCAGGTTTTGTGTAATACTTTTAGTGTCTACACAGACAAATCTTTAAAAAAATTAAATAGTATTAATTTACTAAATATTTAGGAGATAACAGTGCATTAAGGATTTTTTTTTCATATAATACATACATATCACTCCTTTGCAGTGATAGCATAGAAGAGTAAATATGGCCTTAGGTACAACATATTTTTCAAAAATCCTAAAACAATGAACTTTGCTTTATGATATTTGTGACTATTCTTGAAGATTATGGGGACCTAAACTACGTTTTATATAAAATATTACTTATACTGGAACCCTTGATGCCTCCTTTACTCTAACTGCCATTTCACTGCCTTCCTCCATTCCCTATAAAGATATCACCATAGATAAAGTTTAGGGTTTGCAATTTTCATAGAATTCTTCCTTCATTGTATAGTTTCTGCTACATAAATTTATTCAAAGCAGATTAAGTTGCAAGTCTTATTGTCCAACTATTTTTGTTTTTCTTTTCTTTCACCTTTAGCACAGGAAACAGCATCAGTTTAGAGGCATACAACTAGCAGGCGCTTCACCAGGAATGAGGCAGTGAGAACATAGGTAAATGTCATCCCTTTCCATTCTTGGATGTAAATTATGTTTACAAGAGCAATAGAGTAGTGCAGAAGGTCAAAATTCTAAGTACTAAAGTTTTAAAACCACACAGATATAAAAATATACATGTCCTTGGTTTTTGTATGTTACCGCATGATCACTTCATCACAAGGATTGGTTCAGCCTCATCATATCTGCCCCGCCGTCAGGCTACCTTACCCTGGAGCTCAGCTGACCTGAAACTCGAGAAGCCCTTCTTCCAAACACACACCTCACCAGAAAGCTAACTCGACCTGATTTGTAATATGGAGAGCAGAAAACCTTCACTTTGGTTCTTTCCTTCCTTTCAGGAACCTCTGCTGGTTTGGGTGTGCCCGTATTGACGGATGTCCTGCCTTGCATTTTCAGGGAACGAAAGCAATTAACTTTTCAAAGAGGAGTGTGGTCATTTGGGGATCACAAAGGTAAATTTTAACCTCGAAAAGCTTCACAGTTCTCCTTTGAGGGCCCATGGTTTTAGGGCCCAGATGTGTGTTAAAGGCTTTGTTCCCCTTTACGGGGGGGAAAAGGAAATGATAAACCAAATGATTTCAGAGCATACGGAGCACCAGTGGGGATCACCAATTCTGAGGCAGGAACACAGGAGGAGAAAGCCAGTACCAGCACAGTGACCAGGAACCCAGTCACGAATGTAATGGGGATAACTGGCTATATCCTGGAGAACCATGTACTGGGAACAACGGATGACATCCCCTTACAGTTTCTCTATCAGTTCTGCCGGTAAAATTCACTCCATACAGGGAATGCAGGGTAGTCCTGTGGTCATGTAAGCACATCACAAGAATTGGATATCAAAGTTGCTTATAAAGTATGTAGGGGCACGGCATTTTGGTTCATGCACAGGTTTGGGGTATGTCTTTCATTACATAAATGTAAGTTCCCCTTGAGGGCAGGACAGAGCTTCTATTTTCATTCTGATTTCCTGCAACCACTTAATAGAGTGTGTTCTGCCTACCAAGGGCCACTCAATTGTACAAAGGCTGCTGTGAACATTTCAAATACACATTAATGCCCACTGTGATACTTCATCGCTGGCTTTCTGGAAGGTAGACAGACATAGGAGCCTCTCCATAACACAGTTTCTTAGAGCAGAATTTGGAATAGTAACTCTATCCAAGTGGAACTGGAAGTAAACAAAAGGACCTTCATGTTCTCAGGTGGTTTCACTTAGAAGCCAGTCACCCCAGAAGAGCATCCTCGCATGGAATGGATCAGAAGCTCCTTACGTTGACAGGAAGTATGCTTGTCCTTTGTATCTTCCACCCAGCACGGCGCTGGGCACATGGTGAGGATGCAGTGAGCATCTGAAAACCAATGACTCTGGACAGTGAGGCTTCAGGGCACAGGATAGAACTTTATACATGTAGCTACATTATGCAGAGGGCTATTCATTTTTTCATTTTAAAAAATGGAAGGGGTAAATTACCATGGAGACAATCAGAAATTCCTTCCAATGGAGCACGTCAACTGTTTCATCTTCAGTGTTGGTGAGTGTCACTATATAGTCTTTGTTATTAATAAGCATTATTATGCTGAAGTCAGTAAGGTCCTTGCTGGCTACAGTATCACATCAATAGTGCAAAATGTATACTGGCTTCTGTCTGAAATCTTATGTTACTTGCGTATGGACCCAGAGTATCATAACCAGGTAGATAAGTTCATAAAGAATAGTAAAAAGAAAAATGCCTATAACTTGCATATACAACAATCAGCTATTTCTTCTAGCTCAAGAAAACATTTAAAACAAGGCTGGTGCTGCTAGTAGCATTCAGAAGAACACAAATTTCTTTCCCTTACATTACAATGGGAACTCTATGTCTACATGTCCTGTGACTCTGGGGAGTGAGAGGTTCCTTACACTGGCTGAGAAAGGACTCGGCCTCTAATTCATAGATCACGGAAATGCAAATATGCACTTTATCTAGTATAGTCATACACTATCTGCCCGTAGATTTTTAGGCACAATTATTAGTTTTCTCCTAGGGGCAAAAGAAAGCATTCAGTGCAATGAAAAGATCCTTGATAGAATTAAGTTTCAGTTAACAACAGCAAAATGATGCATACACAGCACATAGTTTAAAATGAATAAAACCTAAATTTTTAACATGCTTTAAAAATAGTCACTCTATACCTAATGCAAATATGAATGGAGAACACTGCCCTTTATTTTAAAAGCAGATTAATTTGCAGGCTTCTATTTGAGTATCCTTGATTATGTAAGAAAGTTACTCAAGCTGACCCACATGTGAAGAAACCAACAGTTCTTCAGAGAAGCCAACTTTATGTACAATACACACTAAAAGCTTTTCCTTCAAAGGGAAGTAATACATCCTTTGATCAACATGACTCCTTAAAGAAATCCTAGTGCAGTTAATATTCCCTTCAGCTTTCTGGTGTGGGTCACCAGAGGGACTGTAGTTCATCAAAGCTCTTGCAACCCTTTTTAAGGTAGACTCAGCTACATGAAGGTTAAATTTATAATTCTTAATTACTGAATACTACTCAGAAGAAGATGATTCTGGGAACTAAGTTCCATATGAATGATTATACAAAAATTACCACACACTTCAGGTCTTCATAGCATAAAGCATAGTAACTGCAAAGATCTAGGCTGTTTTTGGTTGTAGGGTCCCTCTGTCCCACCGCTTGTCTTTTTGTTAGACCTTCCCTGAAAACTAGATAAATAAAAACATAATGGCAAAGTACTTTGGGACAGTGACAGTTTCTGTTTAAGACTTCCATGAGCAAAACAGTTATATTCTGTGAAGACAACGTAGTGCTTTAAAAGGTGCATTTTTCCCTCCATTGCTAGGTCAGTTCATGAAGTATAAAACCATACACCACTGAAGTCCTGATTCTAAAACATTAAAATCCTATTAAAAGAGCTTTGAAAAGATAAATCATAGTGATTGCTACAGCATGAGAAAGGTGCACCAGAAAATCCTTCAAAAAAAATGCTGAAGGTTACAGAAGTGAAGTGCTGGGATTAGATCAGACGCTTTATCAGAGAAGTCACAATGGAACACATGCAGGGGAAGGGTGCTGGGGAAACTTCACAAAAACCTTCTTTAAGTCAACAAAGAAGAGACATCAGTCAGTCCTGCAAGATGCTCAGGATCTAGTTTTCCTCCTAAGTGGATGAGTTGTAAACAGCATCACAGTTTGCATTTTTGGTTCTTCTCAATGCAGACATCACATTGCTGGAGCCTGTGCTCTGGGCTGCGGCGGCCGTCAGGACAGTCAGTACCGGTGGGTCTGGTGAGATGGGTGGTACTGCGCGCTCTGCTGGGAAGAGGAGGAGTAACCTAGTGTGCTCTGGGACTGAGAGGATCCCTGAACGCTGCTTTGGTAATTCAGGCGAGAACTGGAGTGCTAGGAGAAGGAAACAGGAAAAGGGAGTTAGTTACTGGCGAAAGAAGAGATGCTAATCACAACGGGATGGAGAAATGAGCCCTTTTCATCAGAGGCGCCTGGTTCTGATCCATGGTAGCTGACAGCTAACTTGGTTTGTTAATATTTTGCTTATTTGAAATCACAGCCTGCCATCACTGTAACCACATATTCTGGCAGGCACAAAGTTTGGCTGGACTTCTTTGGGAGATAAGTTACATTGGCAAAAAAGAAAAAAGGCAGAGGGGAAACTTACGCTGACCCCATTGCTCTTCATACTGATTAATTCTGGTTATTCCTTGCATATATAATTATGCAATTTATAAACATGAATAATCAATTTGGCATAGTCAGTCAATGGTATTCACAATGTCTGCGAATTTTCTCATTATAAATAACAAAGCTGTGATTCAGAAATCATTTTTAGGGCCGGCAGAGTGGCACGTTGGTTAAGAGCCAACTTGGGACGCCAGAGGTCCCCCCAGGTTCGGATCCCACATATGAGGGCCAGTGACACTGCCCTCTACAGCTAAGATGCTGAACAACAGCTCAATCTGGAGCTGGGCTGCCGTGAGTCACCGGCGACAGCATAGGCTGCAGCCCCTGCTGCAGTGGGTTACCATGGGCTACCGTGTGTAGCCAGCAGCCAGCGTGAGCGGCCAGCAGCCGCAGTGAGCGGCCGTCCAGAAGCCGGCGACTGATCTGCCTCGCCCGGGAAGAGCGCAATGATGATGCCAGCTTGGGCCAGTGAAGCGACGTCCTCCACAACTAGACTGAAGAACAAAACGACAGCAACTTGTCTGTTCCCCTTCCCCAATTCCCCAATAAAAATCTTTAAAAAAAAAGAAATCATTTTTAAAGAAAAGAGCACTCGGAGGTAGAGGCTAGAGTGACATCAGCAGGACCACATACACGACAAAGTGAGGCAAGGTTGGGCGGGGCATGGCAGCACTCAGTGGGTTTTATAAACTTCAGGTCATATTTAGAATAAAGAAATTTTCATACATGAAAATGCCCTCAAGAGAAGGCAGAGACATATGTATTTCAATTCAGTGTACTTTATTACTTTAAATGAAACATTCATCTTCACAGTACCCAGGGCAAACATGAAAAAATGTGTAAAAGGAAAATTCATCTATAGAGTATGGTTCCTGGTTAAACATAAGCACAGCTGGAACTGATGTCTTTGGCTATGCTTAGAAGGCTGGTTCCTTCCTGGGAGCAAAGTGAGAAAGAATATCCACAAGCAATAAAGCTATTACTTGTAGTTAAACTGTAAATGACTTTGAGGTGGCACTCGGGGTTTAAGAAAGGGCACATCAACAAGGTCCCCACCTCATGTGCAAAGGCTGCCAAACTGGACTTGCAACATCTGGCCTAAGATAGCAGGGTAACGGGATTGGCTTCCTTAGAAGCAACTCAGCTTTGGGCCTTCCTAAGTTACATAACTGACTAGTTGTGTTAGTGTAAGAAGCCTTTCAAAATTCCAAATTCTAACTACATTTTATTTTGAAATTTATTATGGAAAAATGTTCTTTCCACTCCCAAGCCCTGGACTGTGAGGCTGACTTTGATTGCTTTCACTTCAGCAGAGTAGGCCCAGCACTCTAGCTCTCCCATGTTAAATACGGAACACACGTGAAGGGAGAGTTGTAGATAGGTGCAAAGGGACTTCCTTCCCCCGCCTCATCCCGTCTTTCCAAATAAATAGCTCAGACAGCTATCCATTTCACAGATACACTGTTTTATTTGTAAGTAAACAGCACAGGATGGACAAAGAAAAGCATTTTGAAGAGCTCTTGGATTTGAAAGGAATAAACACAGTAGTTAAGTAATCTGCCCATAATTGACTATAATCTGCCCATAATTGTAATATAATCAGAGACACAAAGATGAACCAGTAGTATATAGTGAAGGTTTATCGCTCACATCATAGAAATAAACCAATGTTAGGGGAAAAAACTGAATTTATAATAAAAAAATTCAAGTAGGTTCATGACCTACTATTTTTAGTGGATCAAACTGAAACCTTGATTAGTTTAACTAGAACCAAATGGCAGTGCTATCTTATACTCCTCTGATTGTAGGAAGCCTTCCAACAGAAGTTTTCAAAGAAGCAGTTGTACGAAAACACATTAGTGAGTTGAGATATTCAAAATGAAAGGCTCTTTAGGCAGCTATTTATATGTCTTTCTTGTTAATGTTTCTCTTGATTTCCAGTTTCTATCAGTGAGTTTATGGCTCCCTTGCCTGTGGTTTTGTTTTCTATTATCTCTATCCTAATTGCTCACCCTCTACCAGTCCCTTGAGGGACCCCAGTTCTAATCCTTTTTTCTTTTCACCTATCACTTAAGTTTTTCCTCCTATCTTCTTAGATCTTTTCTTAGCTTGTTGCTACATTGAAAAAGGTTGTGGTTGTTTTTGTTTTGTTTTTCTTTTGCAAGATTCCCTGCAGTTTTCACAAGTATTTTCTTTTCTTTTTTTTTTTTTTAAGATTTTTTTTTTTATTGGGGAATTGGGGGGATGGGAACAGTGCTGGGGAATTGGGGAAAGGGGAACAGACAAGTTGCTGTCGTTTTGTTCTTCA